GAGGCAGGCTTGGTGGGAAGAGCTGATGTTGCTTGGGTTACCCTCTGTTTTCACCCGTGTATTTTTCGTGGCCAGTTAGGAACAAAGCCTCGTGTTCCTGTGTCATTAAGAGCCGTGGAGTGTCCTGAAGTGTCTCACCACACCCGTTCCCGCCCAGGATCAGGGTCTGAAGCCCCCTACAGCCTCTCTGTGGTACCGCATCACACAGCCCCAGCCAGATGCCCTGTGGCTGCCTTTCCAGGCCACTCTCTCCACAGAGCCTCTTCCAATAAATAATTTGTAGGCTCTTGCTGGGAGCCAGGCTGGGTGCTGAAGGTCAGACTTCTTTGGGGAATATCCACCTTCGCCTGTCCCTGTGGACCAGCAGAACAGGTGCTGGCTGTGCCCACCCACACCCCTCTGTGCATGCCAGCTGCCAGCCTCAGTGTCTCTTTGCCTGAGGGTTTCTCCAGCCACCAGGGTCCCTTCTGCCCATGGGTGGGATGGATTAAAATCAGCGCCTCCTTGGAGCAGCCCTCAGCCGTGACTGGTAGGAGCTGGTGCCCCAGCTCCCTCACCCATTGGGTGAGAACACCGTGTCATGTGTTCTGTACCATCTCCTAGAGGTCCCGCAGAAGATGAGGCACCAGTTGCCCACAGTGGTAACTTACATGGTAACTACCTCGTTACTCTCTTCACCCTTCCCTTCCCTGTCGCCTCACCTCCCCCCTACCCATGCTTCTTGGGAACATCTCTCAAGACTTGCACCTGAATCCTTGTCTGCCTTCAGGGAAACCCCAACCAAGTCAGTTCATTTAGAACAAGGCTTCTCAATCTTCGTACTCCTGACATTTCAGATGGCATCATTCTTTCCAGCGGGAGGTGTCCTGTGCATTGCGGGATGCTGAGCAGCATCCCTGGTCTCCACTCATGAGTGGCCAAGTAGCAAATCCACCCCCACCAGCAACACTGAGTTGTGACAACCGGAAACGTCTCCAGATATTGCCAAGTGGCCTCTAGGGGCAAAATTGCTCCCAGATGAGAAATGCTTGCTTAGGGAAAGAACACATCACTTCTTTCAAGTCTGCCACTGCAGTGTGGCCAAGTGACTTGCCCTCTCCAGGCCTGTAGAATGGGGATAACAGCACCCCCAACCCAGGATCATATTCTTAGAGGTCACTGCAATAACACATCAAACACCTAATATGACAGATGCCCAATGATGCCCTTGTGTATTATGTGCCACTGTGTTCTAAGCCCACTTATGTGCTCTCTCCGTGTCTTGATTCGCTTAATCCTCACCATAGCCCTTCCAGGCAGGTACCATTGTCAACACCATCCCCATTTTTCAGAAGAGGCAACTGAGGCACAGAAAGGTTAAGAAACTGGTCCAGGCCTGCACAGCTCATCTTTGACATGGCTGGAATTTAAACCCAGGTGGTCTGGCTCCAGAGCTTGGGCCTCTCACAAGCACTCCACGCAGATTATTTTGATGGGGAGGGGGTGGAAGAGAGCATTGTGGTTTCCCTTTCTTTACCCTCAAGGTCAGGTTTGGCCCACATAGAAATGGTGACCTCATCCTTGGCCAATTTTCTCGGAACCCTGAGCCTCAGAACATTCATGTTATAGTTTTCATCTGCTAGAGCTACAAAGTCCTCTCTGAAGAAGTGCCTAAATCAGAAACCGGCAGACTCCTTCCTGGGGGCCAAATTTGGCCCACTGCTCATTTTTGTAAATAAAGTTTTATTGGAACACTACCACACCCATCCATTTACATGTTGTCTGTGGTTGCTTTTCAGCCATAGCTGCAGAGTTGAAGAGTTATAACAGAGACTGCATGGCCCACAAAGCCAAAATACATTACTGTCTGGCCTTTTGTAGAAAAAGTTTGCTGACACTTACCTTAAATAATAAGAGAAAAGAGTTTCACCCTGTAGGAGGCAAGATGTGGCCACAGATGATTCTAAACTCCCTTCTTGAGTCTTCACCACCACCTGGGTCACTCCCCTGCTTCATCACTTATTAGCTGGGTGGTCTTGGGCATGCTGCTTAAACTCTCTGTGCCTCAGTTTTCTAATCTGTAAAAGGGGATAATGATAGCACGTGAGCTCAGTAAGTGTTAGCGGGAAGAGAAGAGGCGGGGCCTTTAGTCAAAAGACTAGCTATACTGGTGACTACCTGGTGAGGCTTTGGGTGATTAAGTTGTATCATCATTCTGTGCCTCAGTTTTCTCCTCCATAAAATAGGAAAACGAAACGCATTCCTTACAATGTCAATAAGGATAAGGCAATTTCCTGTGCAGCATGGCACTCAGCACATAGTAGGCACTTTATCAGCATTCTTTCTTCCTCTAATCAAACACCACCCCTGAGAACTGTGTGGAGTAGGGCGGGGGAAAGGTTCAAGCCCCAGAGAATTGGTTCTTCCTGCCTTTTCAGTGTTTCACCCACGTCAGACTTTCCATTTCACCAGTGCATTTTAATTTTGTCTCTTAAGTGGCTTCTGACTCCTCGGGCAGCACTTCCCCCGTCTCCGTGGGCCCTGCCTGGATGGTGGTTCCTGCAGGCCGGTCCGTGTTAGTGGTGGCCAGGGACAGTCGGTGGGCTCAGACCAAATGGGACATCACCCTCCCCACATCCTGCCTGAAGCCTCAACCCCCCAGTAATGTCTGGGCTCCCCCCACCCCTGGGGCTGGGTGCTGGCCACCTCTGCCATGTTGTCATTTGAGTCTTGATCCCATGAGAGAGGGAGGCCGGAGAAAAACTGATGCCCTCGCATAGTCCTGCCTGCACTCGGCAGGACACAGCTTAGAGTGTCATGGGTTCTGTAGCAGAGGTACCCTTTAGTGATGTCTGCAGGGGGTGAGAGGCTGGGGGTGGAGGCATGTTTGCCGCACCTGGGAGAAACTGATCAGTGCTTCCTTGAGACTGGCTGAGAACTGGGATGATTCTCTAGAACATTTTACGGGGGCTCACTGCTCTTTCTTGGCGCACTGGTGAGTCTGCATGAACAGGAGGAGTGCAACAAGCCATGTTTGGTGGCCTCAAGAACCTCATCCTGTAGGCAGCTTTCTGTTCAGTCAAGTGGGTGGGGACAGCGGCTGTCAGCTATGGAACTGTGATGACAAGTGGGGCTGGGCCCGCAGCTTCCCCTCCCCTTAGAGCCTGAGGGGAGAGGCCGGGTATTATCTGTCATCCTTCAGGAGGCATGGCTCATGGGGCAGATTTGTCCCCCTCTTAATTTCCTAAAGCAGGTCTTGGCAAACTGGCCCACAAGCCAAATCTAGCCTCATTCTTTATAGCCCATGAGCTAAGCACGGTGTTTACATTTTTAAATAATTTCTAAAAATCAAAAGAATAATACTTTGTGACATGTGAAAATGATATGAAATTCACATTACAGCATCCACAAATGAAGTTTTATTAGAACATACTCACGCTCATTTGCTTGCATTTTGTCTATGGCTACTTTTGCACAACCACAGCAGAGTTGAGTGGTTATGAAAGCAACCAAGGGGCTTCCAAACTCTAAAATATTTTCTACCTGGCTCTGTACAGAAAATATTTGCTGAGCCCTGGCCCAGAGAAAATAAATTGTTTTGCACCAGGAGGCCAGGAAATTAACTATAGAAATTGTAATGCATGTGTCTCCGGTATGTTTGTTCTGTAGCGTTGCCGATGCTGTGGTTATCACAGAGATGGGAAAGAAGACAGTGAGGGAAACTATAAGTGTGGTATCTTTGGGAGCAATTGATCAGGAAATCACCGGAGTCCAAGAGTTAGGAGATCATTTGTGCCCTCTTGGTTCTCGAATGTGGCCGCTATATCAAAACTGTTTTTGAAACACAGATTCAAGGGCTGTATCTCCAGGAAGCTTTCATTCATTAGTTCAGGCAGGAGATACAGGCATATGGCTTTTAAACAAGCTCCCGAAATGATTTTGGGGGGTCCCCAACCTGTTTGAGACTCTCCCGGTGGAGCAGCTATAGGTTCAGGACCATGGACAGCGTAAGGCCCTCATCCGTGGGGACTCTACTGGGTCCCCTGCCTTTGGGTGCCCTGCCTTATCTGTTCACCCAGGCTCCCTTCCATCTCACCACCGGGAGCTCCCCCTGAGACCTACCTCTGGGGGCTCGAGGCTATCAGCCTTCCCCAGAAGTCCCCAGCAGTCTCCCCTTCCCTCCTGCCAGCCTCCTATGAGGACAACTGAATGACAACATGGTGAGGCTTGGCCTCCTGCTCTGAGACTGGGCCTGTTTTCTTGGGTCTGGTCTCGCTCTGTTCTCTTCCTGTCTCATCAGCTATCATCAGCTCTGCCCGTGTGCTGGGGGCCTGAAATCTTGGTGGTGGCTTTCGTTGGCTCAGATGGACTCAAGGGCCTGGGTCAGACAATGATTGGGGTCGCTGTTTCCTACTGTGACCTTTGGGGTCTTTCCTTCTCCCTGTGCTGGCCTGGGGGTGGGCTGCTTGCTTTGGGGTGAGGTTTCTGGGACCCACATATGCTTGACCAGAGCTGTTCCTCTGCCCCTTCTACCCTCCACAGTCCCCCAGGACCTGATGGATGTCTCCGTGAGCAACCTGCCATCCCTATGGCAACCCAGCCCCCGGAAATCCTCCTGCTCATCCTGCTCACAGAGTGGCTCGGCTGATGGTGGCTCAGCCAATGGCTGCAACCATGAGAGGTATGAGGGGCTTGGACTGTGGATGGAGGGAATGGAAGGATTTACCAAAAATCTGTAGACATGCACTCTATGCCCTGCACTGAATTCAGAGGTGTGAACATCAGCTGTAGACTCATCCAAGTCTAGGTTAAATCCCAGCCTTGTGAAGTCCCAGCTGTTGGAGCTTCCTTACATATTATCAGTCAGGATAAAGAAGGTTTTGTTGCTGTAACAAACAATCCTAAAATGTCAGTGGCTTACTACCATGAAGGATTATTTATCATGCATGCTGTGTGTCTACCATGGGTCAGCAGGGGGCTCTGCTTTCTTCCCATTAAAGGGCCTGGCAGATGGAGCCACCACTGTCTTGAATATGGCGCATCACAGTGACTGAAGGAAAGGTAGCTCTGGATGGAGTTGACCCAACAATTAAATGCTCCAGCCCGAACATGGCACATCATTTATACTCATATCTCATTGGCCCCACCAACAGGGGGCCAGGAAGTACAGTCTTACCGTGCTCCTAGAAGACAGAAAACAGAAGTATTACTTAGTGACAACCACACGTGCCTCAGTTTGCTCCTCCAACAAGTGGGGATACTGATGCTTGCCTTATGTAGCTGTTGTAAGGACAAGTCAAATACTGGTTTCAAGTGGCCACCATGTGGTACCTGCACATGGTGCATTTCAATAAATGACACTTCTTTTTTTTTAATTTTATTTATTGGGTTTTTAAAATTTTGTTTATTTGTTTAGGGGGTAATTAGGTTTATTTACTTATTTAAGTGGAGGTCCTGGGGATGGACCCCAGGACCTCGTGCATGCTAGGCATGCACTCTGCCACTGAGCTCTACCCTCCCCGACACGTCTTATTTTATTGCAGAAAGTTAAATCCCCAGGTCATCTCTCTCCTTGCCCGTAGAGCTTTGGTGTCTGGAACTACTCAGCTGCTTTATGAGACTGGTCATGTTTTCCATTGACCCAGCCTGGCCTGCCCTAGGGGGATGGAATCCTTTATTCCTTGCTGGGCCTCTGTCCCAGTGGGTGGGCCAGTCTTCAGCCACAGGAGTGTAAACTGTGAAGATTTATAATTCCTGGCTTTCAGTGTGTGGTATAAGGACCAAAAGCATCATCACCTGAGCAGATCTCTGTTTTTCATCCCAGATCTACTGAAGCAGAATCTGCATTTAATAAGATCCCAAGATTACGTGTGTACTTTGAAGCTTGAGACACACTGATATGACCAGAGAGTCTCATATATTAATGTGCAGCAGAATCACCTTGGGGAGGTAGCAACACATACGGCCTCCTGGACTGCTTCCTAGAGATGCTGATTGAGTGGGTCTATGCAGGACCTAGGAACTCAGTTGCTGGAGAAACCCCAAGTGGTTCTGTGGCTGATGGGCCAGGGACCATTGACAAATGCTGTTCTGACCTACTACCCCCTCTCATGGCATCTGCTTACACACTTGTAGTGATGGGAAACCCGCCACCTCGCAGACAGCAAGGCCACCGTGGGACAGCTGTCAGTGTGATGCTGTCCTCATGTAACCTGAGCACGCCTGGGGCACAAAGAGGGTGACTTTCATGTTGAATGCCTCCCTGTGTGTAACTGGAGGACTTCAGCCATTTGTGCCTCATTCCCATTCTCCCTGGGTGTCTCCTGGAATGTTCTGAGAATAAATAAGTAGATATTCCTCTACTCTGTTCTCTCCAAGAATGCACCACACTCCCTTCAGCAATCCTCTTTTGCCCAGTAATTC